CCCCCCCCAGGATACGTCGACTCTCCCCTTTATACTTCTTTCCTAGGATGGCCCAGGCCGCCTGGAATGGGACAGGGACTCCGGAGTTGGTGCTCGTTGGGCTGTGGGCACCGCCAGCCCTGCGTCCCTTGCTGTGGACAGCTCTCTTGGCGGCCTATGTGGCCACAGTGCTGGGCAACGGCGCGCTGGTGGGGCTGATCACACTGGACCAGCGGCTCCACCGGCCCATGTACCGCCTGCTGACCCACCTGGCACTGCTGGACACGGCGTACGTGAGCACTACACTGCCGCAGGCTTTGGCGCACATGGTGGCTCGCAGGGCCACCCTCTCCCTGGCGCGTTGCGGGGCGCAGCTCTACGTCGGCATCTCTCTGGGCAGCTGCGAGGCCATCCTCCTGGCCGCGATGGCCCTGGATCGTTGCCTAGCCGTGTGCCAGCCTTTGCGCTATGCGGCCATCATGACGTCCACGCGTTGCGCCACCTTGGCCCTCGCCGCCTGGACGTTGGGATTTCTGCTGTCTGTGCCAAACGCTGTGGCTGCACTGCGTCTGCCCTTCTGTCCGGGGAGGCCCCCGGTGGACCATTTCTTCTGCGAGCTGCCCGCCGTGCTGAGGACGGTGTGCGCGGATACCACGGCCAACCAGATGCTGGTCTATGGCTTAGGCACTCCCATTCTGTTGATTCCTTTATCCTTCATTCTCACCACCTATACCCTGATACTGAGCGCTGTGGGTAAGCTGCCGTCGGCCAAGAGCCGCCTCAAGGCACTGTCCACTTGCAGCTCGCACCTGGCCGTGGTGGGCCTCTTCTACGGCACAGTGACCGCCATGTACCTGGGCCCACGGAACTCCAGCGCTCTCCCCGCCAAGCATCACAAGCTGGTGGCTGTGTTCTACCTCGTGGTCACACCTGTCCTGAATCCACTCATCTACAGCCTCCGGAACCGCGAGGTCCACGCAGCTGTGCGGTATGCGCTGGCCCGGCTCCGGGGAACACGCACAGGGCTGGACTGAACTGGAGACACGGAGCTGGAGGCTGGTTCCTAAATCTGATACTTAGCTCTGCGGCCCTGGGGAGGTCACAGTAGTTCTCTGAACCTCTCTCCTGAGATACAGGCCAGCCGATGATATTTTCTACAAAGGGCTACCAACACCACCATCAGTTGTTTTGGAGTTGGTTGATGGCAATCCCATGTACAACTGTGCAGCACAGGGCGATCAATGCCTGATTTTTCAAGTCGATAGCCAGGCCTTTCTTCCGAGGTGCTTCTGGGTGGACTGGCATCTCCAACGTTTAGGTTGGCATACATGCCAAGTGCATTAACTGTTTGTGCCACCCAGTGACTCGATATAAAGGGCAGATAGTAAATTGTTTTCCTTTGTAGGTTGTATGGATTCTGTAAGGAATCCTGGTGGCACAGTAGTTAAAATATTTGGTGGAGGTGGAGGAATGTGGTAGTTAGCTTCCTAAAGATTTACAGCCTTGGAAACCTGGGGTTGTTCTACTTTGTCCTTTAGAATCAATGACTTTAGTTTTTGGCTTGGGGTGTACCTGTAAGTATGACTTGTTTAGAAATGGGGATTTTAATGAGGTCACACCTGACTAGTGTGGGTCCTAAACCTAACCACTAGGGTGGGTCCTAAACCAGAATGCACACACACACATGAGAGAAGACAGGCATCAAGGAATGCCAGGGGTTGCCGCAGCAATTGGAAGCTGAACTAGGTAAAGAATCCACCATCCCCCCCAGCCCACTCTGATTTGAACCTCTAACTTCCTAAACTGTGAGAAAATAAAAGTGTGTTCTTTCAAACAACTGCCACTAACGGAACAACGAGAACAGAAATCATGAGAACGTTCACGTATTGTAAAGAGTGTGATCGACGTCACTGAACA